ATCTCATGGTTCATAGGTTGAGGCTTACCACTGATCCATACCGGCCGGGCGGAAATTACTTTTAACATGGTGAAATACAAATATTCACACTGAGTGGGGAAAATAAAAACTCAACCTGATGTCAGGTCAGGCATTCAGATTTTTTGATTTTGTGAATTGTGCATAAGAGATTGTTGGTTAGTTTTAAAATGTAATTAAGTGTTAAAAGGATTAATTATGAGCCACTCTCAGAATAAGGGAATATCACTATGGTGTCAGAAAGATGGTATTTTATCTGGTTTTGAAGGTCTGGATAGAACTTTATTTTTGCTCACTGTTGAATCCTTGGCAGCTAGACTCGCACCTGCCACATATTTTATAAATAATATTTGACAGATGAGTAATTTATGAGGAGAAGGGAGGAGACTTCCACTTGAATGTGGATGTGGAGGAGGGAATGCATTTGGTTATTGTGGGCCAGTCAGTGGTCTCTGCTCTGATTAAAGCGAATACTCCACACAGTACATGTGGGTAGGTGAGGTGGGGGCCATAATCGGTGTTTTTTGTTTTTTTAAAAAAAATATATTTTATTGAGTTTTTACAGAGAGGAAAGGAGAGAGATAGAGAGCTAGAAACATCGATGAGAGAGAAACATCGACCAGCTGCCTCCCGCACACTCCCCACTGGGGATGTGCCCGCAACCAAGATACATGCCCTTGACCGGAATCGAACCTGGGACCCTTCAGTCCGCAGGCCGACGCTCTATCCACTGAGCCAAACCGGTTTTGGCCATAATCGGTGTTTATGCCTTACATACTTGTTCATTTGAGGAGTTTAGACTGTATTGATGGCTTACTTTTAAATGGGGATGGAAGAGAACTTAGATAATCAGAGGTTTGGAAAATAAAAAGTTAAAAAAACAGAGATTATGTTCCGAATGGATTATGGGTGTATGTGTTTCCTGTAAGGGTGCCTTAAAAAAATGTGTGTGTATCACATTTAAAACTGTCAAGAAACAGAGATTACTCTGAGTTTGAAGAAAATGCCGACACTGACCTATTGAATTTGGAAAGTGATAGGGTGGAAATCAAAGAAAATTTCAAAATCCTAATACTTGGTGATTACAAATAGTGATCCCTTTGGCTGAAAGAGGGAAATTTGAGAGAAGCTGGAGAAAACAGGCTAAACCCACTGACATGACTTGGCATATTGAGTGGTTTGTATTCTTTAAAGTCTTTATTAATATCTTTTGTGTGATGTGTTTGTAGATATAAAGCATGCTCCAGTTTCCATAGTCCATAGCACCTAAGAACAATGCAACAGAAAATCTTACATAACTTGAGAGTATGTGTTTTACATGCTACTTCCTAGCTGCTTTTGTACAAAGTTTATTTAAATTTCATTAAAAAATAAAAGCTGTGCTGAGTAGCATTAATTACCCCTTGCACCTTTTTATTACGCATTAGCAATTAACTCTACTTCTCGCAGGATGATGAATTTGAACTTGATCAATTATCTGATAGTAATTGCCAGTACAAAGTGATTGTTATTGCTGAAGTAACATTTTTATTTAATTTCTCCATGTATTTCAGGCACGTTTATTTGACTGTAGAATATGGCTTGCTCTTTTGGCTTCTGGCAATGAGGTCAGACTGTTTTAGGTCTCTCAAATAGAGTGGTATTGGGTGGAGGGGAGGTGGGAATCCTCTGGTATTTTAAACTGCCATGGCCTTTTGGACTCCAGGAGGAGGAAGGAATGAAGCTCAGCAGGCTCACACTCTGAGCTGACAAATTTCTTTCCTTCTTTATTCCAATTCCTTGCAGAACTGACCTGCATTTTCCTCCTCCCTTGTAGTCGGTGAGCATTCCCCATGAGGAAGGTGCGTCTCTGCTACTTAGGCTCTTTAGCGTTCTGAATAGACTTGTCTAGACAGAAGGGGTGGCCTTTGCTCTCCAGTTCTTGGCTCTGTTGAGTAATTGAGAGAACATGTGTGGGCATCACCTCTTTTCCCTCCCATCACAACACGAGGTGTAGGCTATTGTCTGTGATCTCAGAGGCAGCATCCAGGCTGGGAGCTTTCACATCTTGCCCAAGCTCTCAGCTTAGGAGTGACTGAGCTATGATTTGATTCCAGTTCTTTAGACTCTGTCTAGTATTTATTTTTCATCACCCCAGGCAGGGAGACAAAAAGCAAGTATGGCCCTAGCTGGTTTGGCTCAGTGGATAGAGTGTCGGCCTGCGGACTGAAGGGTCCTGGGTTCGATTCCAGTCAAGGGCACATGCCCAGATTGCAGGCTCGATCCCCAGTAGGGACGTGCAGGAGGCAGCCAACTCATACAACTTGACAAAAGGAAGATAAACAACCCAATCAAAAATTGGACAACAAACCTAAATAGACACCTTTCGAAAGAACATAAGGAAGGCCAAGAGACATATGAAAACATGCTCAAAGTCACTAATCATCTGAGAGATGCAAATCAAAAGGACAATAAGGTACCGTCTCACACCTGTCAGAATGGCTATCATCAAGAAATGAATAAATGATAAGTGCTGGCAAGGTTGCAGAGAAAAAGGAACCCTCGTGCACTGCTGGTTGGAATGCACACTGGTGCAGCCACTGTGGAGAACTGTATGGGGTTTCCTCATAAAACTAAAAATGGAAGTTCCATTTGACCCAGTGATCCCACTCCTAGGAATATATCCCGAGAAATCAGAAACACCAATCAGAAAGGATATATGCACTCCTATGTTTATAGCAGCACAATTTACAATAGCTAAGATTTGGAAACAGCCTAAGTGCCCATCAGCAGATGAGTGGATTAGAAAACTGTTGTACATATATAATGAACAACATAAACTGATGAACGAAAACAGATCCAGAGACAGAGAAGCATCGATCAGACCGTCAAACCTCAGAGGGAAGGTGGGGGAGGGTGGGGGAAGGGGGACAGATCAACCAAAGGACTTGTATGCATGCATATAAGCCTAACCAATGGACACAGAAAATGGGGCGGGGCGGTGAGGGCATGAGCGGGAGTGGTGGTGGGCAATGGGGGGATAAGGACACAGATGTAATACCTTAATGAAGGAAAAACAAAAAGAAAAAAAGTACACTCCCATGGACAAATTTCATGGCCTGTTTGGTGTTTTTTCTTTGTTTTGAAAACTTTGGAGATTAGAGGCGTCATCTCCTCGTCAGCCCGTTAGCCCGTTAGCCCGTTGTGTTCAACATGCATAGTGCAGAAGGTAAACACACAGGCAGAAATCTACAACTCTTTGGAGAAATCAATAAGTCACATGTTCTGATGAAAGTTTTTAAGCATAAAAAGAGTACAGAAAGTGGTGCAATGAATTCCCATTTTTGTTGTCGCTCAGACTTGGTGATTACCAGGATTTTGCTGCAATTGCTTCATCCCTTTCCCCGTCTTAAAGTGAATCTAACACAGGTTACTCCTTTCAGTATCTAACTTAAAATATATAAACTATTTTTGACATGACCTCAATGCTACTCACAGTTTCCTGATTGCCTCCAAAAGTCCTTTTAAAATTGGTTTATTCAAATCGGTATCAAAACAAGGTCATGTGTTCAACATACTTAATGTTTGACAGTAACTTTTCTTGCTTTTCTTTCATGCCTGCTGTACTCAGCGATACTTTGCTTGTAGGTCTCTACAGAGAGAAAATGCAGCAATTTGGTTTGTTTTGATGTAGAGTTTGAGTGATGCTTATTTAAAATTTCAGAGTTTCTCATCAGACGGTGCATTTAACAGCTCTGAACAACAAAAACAGCTCTGCCACAGTTTTGAATGCATATCTATGGTCTTCAAGAATCATTCAAACTGATTTTTTGCTGAGTATTAATCGACACTTTATTATTTTTATTTTTTTACTGTGCCCAGTGCATGAAATTTGTGCAGGGGCGGGGGTGTCCCTCAATCCGGCCTGCACCCTCTCCAATCTGTGAACCCTCAGGGGATATCTGACTGCCAGTTTAGGCCCGATCCCACAGGCAGTCAGACATCCCTCTCACAATCTGGGACTGCTGGCTCCTAACCACTCACCTGCCTCCTCTCCCCCCTCCACTGGCCTGCTCACCCCCAACTGTCCCTCCCTGTTGGCCTGCTCACCCCCAACTTCTCCCACTGCTGGCCCGCTCACCCCCAACTGCCCTCCCCTCCTGGCCTGATCGCCCTTAACCGCCTCTGCCTCCGCTCTGCCACTATGGCTTTGTCTGGGCGGCGGCCATGAGCCGGCTAGGACGACCAAGGAAGCCAAGCCTTCGCCTCCCACCCGCTCTCCATGGCTGCAGCCAGTGCTGCCATCTTTGTCGTGTCAATTTGCATATTCCCTCCTTATTGACTGAAGGAGCTGCCATCTTTATTGCCAAGTGATGGTTAATTTGCATATTACTCTTTTTATTAGATAGGATATATTTAAAAGTTTTTTTAAATTGATTTTAGAGAGAGAGGAAGGAAGAGAGAAAGATAGAAACATCAATGAGAGAGAAACATCAATTGGCTGCCTCCTTCTCGCTCCCTACTGGGGTTCGAGCCTGAAACTCTGGGCCTGGGCCCGACCTGGATGGGGCCAGCCATCTTGTGCACAGGACGACTCTCAACTAAATGAGCCACAGTGGCCGTGGAAGCACCATATTACTTATAAAAGGCTGAAGTTTTAAAGAAGAAAATGTCAAGAATAAGTACACATAATAAACATTAAAGTTGTGTATTTTACACTATATTGGTATACATGAATACTGCTTAACTAATTTCATTGACATGAATTCATTACATTTTGTCCACATGGAACATTGTTTATGACATGATTTTCCAACCATAACTTATGAATACCAAGCTGCTAAACAAGTTAGTAAACACTTGCTTTTGTCAAATGTTATTTTTATACTCAACAGGAATGCTGTTAATGTGAGTTAGCAAAGATTTCTGAAAGCAACTGTTTGTTGACAGATTTTAAAACATGACAGTCTCGTATTTTGTTAATGTTTTGTCTCTTCCAATAGGTATAAATGACCAAGGATTGTACAGAGTTGTGGGGGTGAGTTCAAAGGTCCAGAGACTTCTCAGTATGTTAATGGGTATGCCTCTTTTCTAATCATTTTCCATGCATGATTTGTTTATGTTCATTGATGTCACGAATTAATGTTTCATAGTCACGTCCAGCATACTTGCGAATCCATTCTCTTCTGCTGCCTAGCTTAGTTTTCTCCCAGTTGTCTCTGAGAGGTAGGTTAGTGTTTGCATCAGCACAGATTACCCATTTCCCCTTGACTTATTAAAAAATGCAAGAAAAGAAAAGCATTAAGTTTCCACATCACACAGGAAAGTAGCAGCCAGGCCTCTGTGTGGCTTCTAAATTGGCTGTCGAGAGCCCTGACAGTCCATGTGATTGGACAAGACCACGGGGAGGCGCTGATTTTTATGGAGCTTCCCAAACTGTCATTTGACAGCAAGAGTCTGGTTCTCCGGGGTTCGTTCGTATTCACAGGGACTTGTTTGTAGTTTGCACAGGCTCTCCTCCAGAACCATGCATGCCCCGTCTGTGCTGATAACACAGTGTTCTTTGGCATCGCAGACCAAAGGAAGCCAGAAAGTGAATGCATTTCATCACCCCAGACATTTTTGGGATGACAAAGCGCTTTTCCATTGCACACGGCTGCCAGTGCAGTGCCACCTGTAAGATGCCCGCTTCTCCTCTCACCCCAGAGCAGACTGCCTCTGGAGGAGTGACGCTAGCTCATCAAGCTCGAGGGCCTGCGTGTCATTAGGACCTTGCTAAATATTAATTAATGTGATATCTCACCTTAACATTCACAGTGCCCTCAGGCGTACCATCGATGCATTTAAAACCTGTCTGCATCTTAAAGCACTGTAGCAAAGACTCATTTTTAGGAAACAGAAACCAGGATGAATAAAACCATCAATTGAGATGTCACAGATAGGATTGCTTGTTTGGCTGTATTGGAATTAAGGATTTAATAAGCAACAACCTTTTATTTTTTTTTTAAGCTATTAACCACAGGTAGAAGTTTCCCATCATCAGTTGGAGACCTCATTAGAATACATCCAGTCCAATGAGCTGCTTTATTTTCTGCCTCTCTGGTTTAACTTGGGTTGCCGTTTTGGCAGTCAGATTTTCCCTTTTGCCATTAGCGGTCTCCAAATTAAATAGGCTCAGGTTGCCAGTGGTTCAGTAGCAGCTGGAAGAGTTTAATGGGACTATAGCATCTGCTTTTAGTTCATTTTAAAATTAGAAACACTTTTCTCATTTCCAAGATGGTGTTATGATGATTAGAACTGGAAGGCTGTTGCTCTCAGAAGGGGGGGTTTTGGCTGACAGGCACACACTGTGGCAGTCAGTTGGTCTTAAGGATCCTGCCACTATTTTTATTATCTCCTGTTCATATTCAGGGTCAGTTCCAACAGGGTGCCTCTGTGGCCACCCCGAAGTGTTAAATTGCCCCCAAATTTGTATATTTGTTTTTAGTCTCACAAAATCCCACGTGATTTGTATTCTTGAACTCCAAGGGTAGTTTCTTTCCTCTGCTCCTGGGAAATGTCTCATTGACAGTCCTTAACTTGCAAGGTGTTTTAAAAATAATCGAAGCCCTCAAAATCTCATGACCTGGAAAACTGTTTTTGCTTTCCGTGAGACTCAGAACAGAGAAGTCCAGGACCCAAGTGTGACAGCTTCATTTATGTTGCTGGCAAAGGAAAGACTGTTTTCAGTGGTATTCTGCAAACAGAGGAAGTTAGAACATTGATGTGAGGGAAAGATGCTGGCTTGTTCGTTTTGTATTAAGTATTAATTCATTTAAAGGGGCTATAAAGTAAATTATTTTATTTAATCTATAAATAATTCCTGGTATAAGTTTAAGATTGTCAATCACAAATTTTGGGTTTTTATTAGCATTAATATTATTTTATTATTACTTTCTCACCAACTCAAACTTAAGCTCTTAACAAAATAGATTTACCCACTTTCCTAATAAATTTACAGTTTCTTTAAGATATGTCTTTACTTTCATTCTAATTCAGCAAGTGTTCAAATTCAAATAATTTATACTTCTTCCAAAAAAAAAGGATTTTAGAGTTTCTGAATAGCGTGTATAGAACTATTTCATAGACATTCTTTCTCTCCAACTTCCCCATCTCTATACATTATTTTAAGATTATATATCTTAGTGAAAAAAAATTGGCTGAGTCTGCCAGATGTTTACTTTTGCACTTTTGAACCAATCAATGTTTCCTCCCTCTCTAGATAATTAATTCTGATAAGTTTGCTCATTTGTAGTACTGTGCACTTAGTGTTTAATATTACTATTCCTCCAGGTAATGTTTATTTCAAATTTGAATTTTTCAAAGCACCTTTTGTTTGTAATGCATTTTTCTTTGTACAAATGAAAAATTATATAATTTTTAAGTATCTGAGAAAAAGTTCCAAGTCATCTTATACCTTTTAAGAAGAACTTTGATTTACTTGGTTTTCTAGTTCTTGGAAAGGAATTCTTACTTTGGTATTATTTTTCTATTATTGCCATTTTTACATACATTTTTTTGTACTGTTTAAAATATTTTGAGTATTCCTTAATACTCACATGTAAAAGTTTGGATGATTTTGAAAGAAAGGATGCCTACTCAAATCTTGCAAGTTTTCTTCACTTGTTCCCATTTTCCATATGTTTCCACCCTTCATATTTAAGATTAAAAGAGACAAAAATCTTTCTATTATTCTTTCTTCTCCTCCTCCTCTCCTCCTGCCCTCCTCCCTCCCCTCCCCCTTCTCTCCACCCCTTCTCTCCTGTCTGACTGCCAATGTGAAATACTAATGGCAGTTGACAATGGAAAGTCAGTAGTACCCTTCCAGGCCTGGGCATAGGGGGTAGTGGTCTGGTGGATTCCCAGCAGCCCCCTAGTTTTCCCTGGACACAAATTCTTAAGTTCCCAAGAGAAAATGTTCAGGTGAACAATTTGCCTTCCTTCCCTTCACATATGATTTTCCTTCCCTTCCCTTTGGCTCCAAGAGAGGGCGCACTTGGTCTCAAAAAAAGTTTTGGGTTTTTTGTTGGTTTGATTTTTAGAGAGAGCAGTTGGGAAAGGCAGGGAGAAGTATCAGATGAGGTGTCTTTGGGCGAGTCATTTTTTTAGTAAGTGGGGTGAGAATATAACAGATTAATTACAATAGTTATGGGTAGTTTAGAACTGAGAAGTTAGAATTTCACATGTTCTGCCTTTTTCCCCACTTGGAATGAAAATACCAGAGCAGGGGGAAACTTGTGAGAAAAGGTGATAGTAGCTTGTGTGTGCTGGTGAATGTGGTGGTTATTTCTACATAAATATAATTTGCAAAGAAAGATTGAATGCTTTTAAATTTAGACAGAGAACCATAGAAAACAAGTAAAACTAATTTAGAAGTGTTTTACTTAAAAAATTAGCTTCTTTACATTGTAGAACAACCTTTTCCACATAGATTGGTGAAAAAGTAAACTAATAGCTGAAAAAAAATTCATTTTCAGAATTCACTCAACCACTATGCTTCTTAAGTACTTTCAAATGAGACCCCAGTGAGTGCCAACACTTACATTTAGGTTGGGCTGGAAATTTCCTGTTTCAAAAAAAATGACCACTGGTTAGTTATAAAATTATGAAACATAATCCAAATAAAAAGCCAACTGTTTGGATCTGTGATTGTTAATTTAAATTTTTAAGTAATCCGCCAGGTGGTTCCCTTGGTCAGAAAGGAAGCAAAATGTTTACCTTATTTACAATAGGACATATATTCTCATGTAACAGTCCAACGCATTTTAAGTTTGAATCCCAAATAAGTTATTAACACATTTATCTCGTCCCAGTGCATCCACTGATTGTAAAAAAAACTGCTATGATGATTGAGTTGTTTGAAAACAGTAACATTTAAGGGAGGATCAGTACCAAAGACACAATGTAGTTATTAGCTCCTGAGGTGGCAGCTACGTTTTATTCCATGAATTCAAAGGACGGCTTTTTTTTTTCTCATTGAAAAAAATATGATTCTCAAATTATAGAATGATAATTTGGTAGAAAGCTGAAAATAAAAGATTTCATTTAGAAGCCTTTCCTTCAGAAGGATTTAAAAATGGTGATTTTCTGGGAGCAAGTTGATTGAATATGTTATCTGACTTGTATGTTAAAATGAGATTTAAATAATTGATGTAATGAGAGAGAGAATATTCAGTTACTGAAGTAATTGGTTGGCAAAGCCTTTAGAACAGATTTAGCCCCAGTTATAAAGGATTGCACCTTTAATCAGGGTGCCTAATTTGATTTCTCGAATGTACCTGTGGCTTGTCTGACAAGCTCAGTAACAAATGAGTCCTGAATGGTAGGAACTGATCAAAATGTAATCAGTGTCAGTTGCCATTGTTGTAGTTTATTGCATGTCGCTGTCAGTTGCTGTAATCAAGAACTGCTGAAGCGCTTTAAAAAGTCTCCAGACTTTTGAGTAATTGACTTCATATGTAGGCTGTTATGGCTGTGAAATAACCATCACTTCCTGTTTTACTTGATTTTCAAAAAGTTCGAGAATTACATTGAGTTGTCATCCATCCTTCTTCATACCCAAGCCTAAAACTTTTTAAGAGGCATGGATGACATGTGGTGGTCCCATTTTGACAGCTTTGTCTTTTTTGTGCTTTTAAAGAGGAAATACTGACACGATACTACCCTCTCTCTCCTCCCCTGTATAGACAAGTGCAATGTAAGGGAGGAAAAGAAAGGACGAGTTTTTTATTTGTTTTTGTCTTAGTTGAAACTCCTCATTCTGGAGTGAGGGAGAAAGAAAGTCCCCTCCACGAATCTCCTCTTTTCTCCTTTGCGTGAGGGGAGTGCAGAAAGGCAGACGTGCTTATAGTGATTGTTTGAGATCATTCATTATAACCCATCTGCTCCTCCCTCCCTCGGAGGCCGGTACCGCCACTGACTGCTGATACTTGCAGTGATTCAGTGATGGTAATTACCTAGTCATTTAATAACTTGTGGAAATCCATATACATCCCTGATTTGCTGTGATGCTCTCTGAGAGCTTTTGCCTGACCCCCTTTCTGCAGGTGAGGGCCTCAAGTTCAGATGGGTTTGGAACTGATGTGTGTGCAGTGGGGTTTCCACAGAGATTGCGCCCGGGTTTGTGATCCCAGTGCTGCACTCTGCCCTGTGGCCATGCCACATGAGCCATGGTAGCCCGGCCTTACCAGGATCAGAGATGCCACCCAGCTCAGAGGGCTGGCCTTCCCACCATCCAGGACTGACTTTCTCCTTTTCAGAATCCACTGCCTCCCTTCTCCCTTCCCTCCTTCCCTCCCTTCTTTCCTCCCTCCTTTTCTCTTTTTCTCCCTCTTTCCTTTCTCCTCTTCTTTCTTTTTTTAAAAAGTCTCATGTCTTTTTTGAGTATATTAGCTATTTGAAAGGCCATTTGGTAGAACACATCATTAACACATTTGTAGGACAAAGAAAACTAGTTTAATTTTAGAATGAACATCAGAAATGTCACACAGGGGGTTCCAATAAATATTTCCTGGATGAGTGTATCAATTCTAATATTAATGTGAAAGAGTACCCATAAATGATGGTTTAAGTCTGTGTGTCATCATATTTCTATTTTGAACTGATCATGTATTTTCAGAAATATGATATGATGAGTACAAATCTTAGACACGTAGGACCAAACTCATCCTTTCATCCCACTGACTTCGCTATTCTAATAGTCATCCTGCCATTAACAACACTGCCTGTTTCCTGTCCTAACGCAGTGTGACAGCTATAGTGCCACCTGAGCAACCAAAAGTATACCGATACTGCAAATGCCCCATTCTCTAAGCCATGGCTACCGAGTCCCAGCTTGAATAATGTTAATAATATTGATCATAATAATAACAATAGCTATCCATGCTTTTCAGTGGTCACTGTTGAAATGCTATACTATGTCCTGTTCTTTCCTACTCTCGGCCCAATCCCGATCCTCTTATTTTGATCTCCACGACAGATTTTCTGAAGTGTTAGAAATGTCTAACGCTAGGTTATGGCTTACAGTATTATAAGAAATGGTATATAATGTTTTTATAGGAAACCACAGAATTAATTATTTGTGGTTTGGCCACTTATAAATGAAAGCTTTGTGAGCCAGTCTCGAGGGCCTTTGAATGTTCAAAGTTTTAATTATTTTTTCTTTTTTGCTTGCTCACTAGATGTAAAAACCTGCAATGAGTTGGACCTGGAGAATTCCAGTGATTGGGAAGTGAAGACAATAACGAGTGCCCTGAAGCAGTATTTGAGGTAAGCTCCTCCGAGTATCAGGAGGGAGCAGGGGGGATGTGGACATCCAACCCAGCAGATGCCGACTCTGCATCTTAATAGTCAAGTTAAACCTTATTAAAAGGAGAACATGTATGAGGTAGCCAGTAATGTCCCAGAAAGTGAGTTAAGTAGGGGAACATCAGGTAGGTAAATTGCAACAGAAGAGAATTGGAGGAGCAGACTGAGGTGTAGAAATAGATGTCTATTGTAAATGTGAGTTTTAGGATGTAAATGCTATGAAACAATAGAGGAAGAACACTATTACATTCACTGAATTTTTTTTTTCTGGCTAAAATGATTTTTTTAAAGCTTAAATTTAAACCATTTGATCTTAAAGGCTGAAATGATAAAACAAGTGCAGAGCTATTTGAAAAGAAATTTACTTATTGAGGTTTTAAGATAAACTTCAATTTTCCATTTATTATAGAAAATATTTAGGATTAGAATTAGAAAAAGGTTCATCATCTCCGTGAGTCATTAAACTTTCTCTAAGAAGTAGAGGAATTTGATGATTAAAAAGCTTAAGGTTAGATAAAAAAGTAAATACCTTAGAAGTACAAAAAGAAGTGACTAAGCCAATGGGAAAAAAGTCCTGGCAGCTCCCCCGCTGGTGTGGCTCAGTGGTTGAGCTTCGGTGCATGAACCAGGAGATTGAGGTTCGAGTCCAGGTCATGCCTGGGCTGTGGGCTCGATCCCCAGTAGGAGGTTTGCAGCAGGCAGTGGATTGATGGTCTTTTCTCATCATTGATATTTCTCTCTCCTTCTCCCTTCCTCTCTGAAATCAATAAAAATATAATTCTAAAAAATCCTGGCAGCAGTGCTTAGCTATGGTCCTATTGAGGACATTGGTTTTTCTTTGGCAAACAGGATAGCTCCCGCGGGGTTAGTTCTTCTGTCCAACACCTAGGCTTGTTTTTTCAGGTAAATATTGTTGGCATTCCAATGAGCACATTAGACTCAACTTATTATTACATATTTCATATTTATATAAAATTTACATATTTAAAAAATTTCAAATATATAAAAGCAGAGAGATTAGTGTAATGGATCCTCATGGCCCCATTATCTTGCCTTCTTCAGGTACCCACATGCTGCTTTCATATTTCATCAGCCTTCCTACCTGCCACTTTTTTGGTTAATACTTTAAAGATTTTGTCAAACATCATGTTGTTGCACCCATAAATACTTGAACATATATGTCAAAAAAGATAAGGACTTTAAAAAAAAAAGACCATTTCCTAGCTGGTTTGGCTCAGTGGATAGAGTGTCGGCCTGCGGACTGAAGGGTCCCAGGTTCAATTCTGGTTAAGGGCACATACCTGGGTTGCTGGCTCGATCCCCAGTAGCGGGTGTGCAGAGGCAGCAGATCAATGATTCTCTCTCATCATTGATATTTCTGTCTCTCTCTCCCCACTCCCTTCCTCTCTGAAATCAATAAAAATATACTTTAAAAAAGATGATATAGAAAAGATAAGAGGGATATAATTATTATATCTAACAAAATTAATATCATCAAGTACTTAGTCTTTGTTCCATTTTCACTAATTTTTTTCAAAAAGTCTTTTTATATTTGTTTTAATAACTACAGGATTTAAACAGTGCCAAGACATTTTACTTGGTTGATATGTGAGGTTTTTTTTTTTATTGATTTTTTTAGAGAGAAAGGAAAGGGGGAGACAGAGAGAGAACATTGAAATATCAATTTGTTGTTTCATTCATTTATGCATTCATTGGTTGATTCTTGTATGTATCCGACCATATCCATAGCCTTGGTGTGTGCGGATGACACTCTAATCAACTGAGCTGCTTGACCAGAACCTGGTTGATGTGTTTTACTAGGTGTACTGGTTAATAATGGCAGATTTTGTAATCAAAGAAAATACGGTAATTTCAAAAGAAACATCAAAAGTGCTTTATTCAAAGTAGTGTCCATTGCTAGCTACACATTTACCCCATCTTTCAGGTAATTTGTGGATACCATCCCAATAGAACTTTCCTTGTTTTGAGGCAAACCATTCAGAGACCCAATTATCTACTTCATACGTTTTGAAGTGCTGCTCAGAAAGTGCATGTGCCATCGATCGTAACAAGTGGTAATCTGAAGGAGCAAGGTCTGGTGAATATGGCGAGTGGGTTAATACTTCCCAGGCAAGATCTTTTAACGTGTCTTTAACTGGTTTTGAAGTGTGTGATGGTGTCTCATCATGAAGCAAAATTACTTTGCTGTGTCTTCTGGCACATTCTGATGGTTTCACAGTCAAAGTGGGTTCAAATTGATTATTTGTTGTTGGTAGCGACCAGTATTAATGGTTTCACCTGGTTTTAGAAGCTCATACTACACCACACCTTCCTGATCCCACCAAATGCAGAGCATTGTCTTCTTTCCGAATGTCTGTCACATCAAAATCATCACTTTTAAAGCGTTTAAACCAGCGTTCACAGTATCTTGAGATGTTCACCATAAGCTTCCCAAAGTATACGATAACTTTCAGTAGCACTTTTCTTCAAATAATTAATTAAAACTTCCTGCAAATACTTTTTTTGGGGGGGCACGAAATTCAACATTTTTAAGCTGTTACACCATTTTTAAGGTGTTATCATCATATGTCTATGATGTTAACACCTTCAGAAAATTTGACGTGTGAAGTTTTGAAGCTTGTTGTCAATACAACAAAAGAGCATACATATCAAATCGTATATATATCAACATATGTGTAACTCCACCTATTGAAAAAAATCCACATTATTAACTGCTACACCTAGTAAGTTGCTTTTAATCTGCACATTCTCTTCCCTCAGCACCCTCCCCCTACCCCTCAGCTTTTTTTTTTTTTTGGTGAACCTGGGTCATTTTTTAAAAGTTTTCTGTTTTTTAGTTATGGTTGTATTTCGTGTCCTTATGGTGTCATTTACCATGTTTCCCTAGCTGTCATATTTCCTGTAAACTATTAGTTAAATCTATAGACTTCATTAGATTCAGGTTAAGGTTATTTATTGCAAGAACATTTACATATTGCAAGAATGCATCATAGTGGTGCTATATTCTTTCTATTTGTTTTTGTTTTTTTTTGCATCAGGTGTCCTGTGTTGTCTGGCTGTTCTACTTTTTAATGAATTTAAAATATATCAATAGGTTCCGGTGTGTATTACATATTTTCGAGTATTTTATTTAAGCCAGATGTTTTTAGTCACTTTAAACTTTTTTTCTTCAACGATGAAGTACATTACTATTATCCCTAGTCTATAGAAGGACACAAGTTAAATCTACCTGCCTATGTCTAATTTGCCATTAATGTTGCTTGACAGGTGTAGATGAGGATTACAGTAAAAATGAATCTTGTTAGCCACCCTGGGATTAGAGTGTAGCTTCCTGAAGACAGACGTCTTATGTTTCATGCTCATTGCAGAATTCCCAGCATCTAGAGCTGTACCTGTCATTCAAATATGAGAGCAGTGGGTCTCAGCTGGGGATGATTTTGCCTCCCTCCTCCCCCCAAAGGGGATATTTGGCAATATCTGGAGACATTCCTGGTTGTCACCATTGCAGGAGAAGGGGGCGTGCTACTGGCATTGATGAGTGGAGGCCAGAGATGGGCTGCTAAACATCCTACAGTGCAGGAGACAGCCCATTCTTTCCCCCAGATGGCCAACATGCCAATAGTGCTGAGGTTGAGAGAGCCTGTGTTCGGTGCATGACTGAAAGAAGGGGAGAGGGATATGAGCATAGAAGGAATTGCATGTTACTGACTAGCAAAGGGAGCTGCCACTCCAGGGGGAAGCTTTAAACTCATTTGACTATTTGGCAAACTCATGCCTGGTATAGGTAAGGGGTTGACCAAGGTGATTCAGTTATTGGTGGGATAACTAAAAACAAAAATCCAGTTATTTTGTAGTGAATGGCATGTTTTCCCGCTGCTCCACATAGTTCTTTTTTTAACCCCTTGTGTGAGGAATTAGTTTAATGGTTCTTGACACACACTGTAGCTTGTTCCTTATGGCCCTGGTCTTGTGTTGCGTTCTCTGCCTTTTTCTCTCATCACGTTGCTGCATCCTGTCAAATCCCACTTTGAAGCAAACATCACTTACAGAAGAACATTATGAGACGCTGTAGGTGTCCTACAACTTCCCTCCTAACAATACCCACCTTCTGCGTGAACGTGATGAAGTGATGAACATGAACTGGCAGGTGTCTCGGAAGCTTTGAAAGATTGCCGATCTTTTCCCCTGTGTTATGTTTAGCAACTGAAAGTGTAGTCATTCGGATTTGACACTTTTTCTGGTGATGTGCCAAATGTATCTCATTTTGACTACCCAGTTGTGGCCTAAGCAAATGCTTTTCTTTCAGCACAAGGAGTAATAAATACATTGTGATGGTCGAGAGCGTGGGCGCTAGAGCCAGCCTGCCTGGACTGGAATCGCAGCTGGCACAAGCGCATGGCACAGAGCTGCAGACAGCTTTTCTCACGATTGCCCTTGAATTTTGCTGCAAGTAACCCTGCACCTTAGGGGATGGGAGGTTGGAGGTTGTGGAAGGAAAACTAACCAAACCCCCAAATGGCAAACTAACACACGAAGCAAAATCACCTCCCAGGGACTGGACAAAAAAAAAAGAGAGATGTACAGTGGACATGCATTTGGAGTCTCCCTCTTTCTTCTACTGACTTGAGGGAACTTTTCTTTAACTTTAGTACTTAGAGGGCTGAATACCCGCCCTCCGATTGATTTTGACTTTCAGCAGTGTGTTCATTACAACAGTTTCCCATGTGAGGGGACCAATGAGCTGTTTTGTGATGTTTTTAGTAAAATGATTTCACCTAGAGGAAACTTTTAAAGCCTGCAAATTGGAATGGGACTTGAGGGGAAGAATTTGCCAGCATTGGTCAATATTATGATTTATAGTCCCAGACAGATTGCAATGGGTGGCAGAGATGTAGCTCAGAAACACATTGGGTTGGAAAATTGAGGGGTGCTGTGGCTCA